TTTTATTTCTGATTAGCTTCAATTTATTTTTATTTTAGTTTTTGTACTTTAACTTCCATTTTTTTTATTTATATTTTTGTATACATTTTTTATACAGATATAATATATAATATACAGATATTTTTCATAGATAGATTTTGTATGTATTATTTTTATTGCCAAGGCAACATTTCTATTTTTTCATCTAATATTTCTATTTTATTTCAGCTTTATTATTAATGAAAATGATTTTGAATAATTTCAGTTTAAGTTAATTAATTTATTTTCAAATCAGTATTTTTATTAACTAAAACTGAAATGATTAAAAATCATTTTATAATCATTAATAATAAAGCTGAAATAAAATAGAAATATTAGAATTTTTTAACCTAAAGAAAAGCAAAATTAGAAATATTGCTTTGGCAACTAATTGAAATAAGTTCAAGAAATAAAACTTAATTTATTTATTTTCAAATCAGTATTTTTATTAAGTTTTATTTCTTGAACTTCTTTCAATTAGTTGCCAAAGCAACATTTCTAATTTTGCTTTTCTTTAGGTTCAAAAAAAATCGAATATTTCTATTTTATTTCAGCTTTATTATTAATGATTATAAAATGATTTTTAATAATTTCAGTTTTAGTTTATAAAAATACTGATTTGAAAATAAATAAATAAATAAATAATTCAGTTTTATTTCTTCAACTTATTTCAAAGCAACATTTCTAATTGTGCTTTTCTTTAGGTTAAAAAATTCGAATATTTCTATTTTATTTCAGCTTTATTTCAATTAATGAAAATGTTCTAGTTAACAATGAAAACACTGCTTTGTCAATAAAAAAATAATTTAAAATGCAAATACAGTATTCTATTTAGCAATTAATACTATAGAAATATGAATAAAATTAAATCAATCATCAACATTCCTCAATTTCTCGTTTGTATGCGAGTGTAATTCACACGGCCGTCTCTGTGTGTCCAGGTGGGCTTCATTGACTACATCGTGCACCCGCTGTGGGAGACGTGGGCCGACCTCGTACACCCGGATGCCCAGGACATCCTGGACACGTTAGAGGACAACAGAGAGTGGTACCGGAGCACCATCCCACAGAGCCCGTCGCCCGCTCCCGACCAGCCCGAGGAGGGCAGCCGCTCCTCCGGAGCAGACAAGTTCCAGTTTGAACTGACGCTGGAGGAGGACGGAGAATCAGACACGGAGAAAGACAGCGGCAGCCAGGCGGAGGAGGAGGAGGAGGAGGATGAAGAAGAGGAGGAGGACAACAGCTGTAGTGATTCTAAAACTCTCATCACACAGGACTCGGAATCCACAGAGATTCCAGAGGCGGAGGAGGGAATTTCAGAGGAGGTTTCCACGGAACCCAGCATGGTGGAGGAGGAGGAGGACGATGAAGAAGACGAGGAGGAGCAGCCGGCAGACACGTAGCAGCGCGTCTGGACGGCCCGAACTCGCTGCCACGATGGCAAAAAATGCAAATATTTAATAACAGACAATGAAATTCAGTTCCAAAGCGCACGTTGCACTCCGAGACCTCGGCCACTCCTCTCTCTTTCTCTTTTCCGTCTCTCTACGAGCTGCCTGGAGACGAGAGGACACTAAGACTTCGGTAGGTTGTCGTTTTATTTGCACTCAGGAATAATATTTAGTCCTGTTTTTTCAATCTTGCTTTTGTTTGCCTTCGCCCTCCTCCTCCTCCTCCTCCTCCTCTGTGATTCTCTGTGGACGACAGTGAGGAAATTTCCCGCCCAAAGCAACGGGAGGAGGGACGTCAGCGGGATCGACGCAGGAACGTGTCTCCTTGGATTTCAAAGAGACCTTATTTTCTACGTTTTAAGTCTTCCTAAATTTTTGACTGCGAAAAATGTCACAAAAGACAAAAAAACAAACAGCCCAGCGCTGTCATGGCCTCTTCAATGATTTTGTACGGTATACATACAGATTTTTACATAGTTACTTTTTAAATAACAAAACAGCAGCTGTTGTGTTTTTGAGGAAACTTTGCGCAAAGGGTAACTTGCAAGTACGCGACGTGGGTCGTGTGTTCGCCACCATATACACATCAGAAGCTGTATTTACGTTGTTTTTTTACTTCGTCAAACACTTTACCTCTAATGAGTCTCTTAATACACCTACAGATGCTTGATGTGTGTTCAACTCATTTCTGAGGGGGTTTTTTTCTGTCTTGTTTCGGAGTAGTTATTTCAGCAACACTTATGGGTGTATCAGACATTCAGCCTCAAACCATTTATTCGAAGCACTTCTGTTATGAGGACATCTGGAGATTTTACAGCATGTGAGACTGAGTTTCTTTCCTTTTACCTTTTTCTTTTTCATCTGCAGGATCTCACGCGCCGAGCGCCTGAAATTAAACCACAAACTCCCAAAAAACCACATCAGCGTGTAGGTCAGAGTATTTGTTGTGCAATGCCTTTCACAATCACCTCTGTTTCCCCATCCCTCATGTTTCATTAGAGATCTTCTCTTAGGGCTAGATGCAGTTTAGCGTCAAAATCCACATTTTCATTTCACACCAAAACTTCCCTCCCGCTCCGGACATGCACTATGCGACACGTGGCTTTTAATAAGGACTTATTTTTATCTGTATATGGTTTTAATTTATTATTTGGCTTCTGTTTGAAAGCAGTACTGTAGACCATCAACTGTAGCATAGAGCGTGTGGACTTGCAAGTTACTGGCCTCCAGTTTTTGGTCGTGTACATAGAACAAACTTTTCCAAATCTGTAGTTAATATAATACGCTCACAGAAACTTGAAACCTGGCTCGAGTAGTACTGAGTTTGTTATTTAAGTTTGTGCCATGATATTCTTTCCTCACCAGATGACCTTACCTTATTATAGATTTTTTTTTTTTCCTTATGATTTTCTTTTTTCACTGTTTACAATTTATGTATTTATTTTGCTGTATATATTGTAATGTTTGTTGTAAATGATGACAGATTCTAAACTTCATCTCAGATGGAGTTGCTCTACTTGGTAAACTCTTGTTGAGAGAATGTTTATTATTATAAATATTATCCAATGTAAAAACAAAAATGATGATACTAATAATAATAAGATTCTGTATAAAAATGAGAAGGTCACCTTTAAACGTGTGTTTCTGGAGATCTGGGGAAAGCCAAACCATTTTGAGACGAGTCGCCACTGGCGTTTGGCCCCAGGGCTGTGCCTTAACTTAAAAACTCTTTGTTTGTGTGTCCGTTTCGTCTCTTTACGTGTTTCGGAGAACGATGTCTGCTGCCAGGGTATCAGGGCATCTTATGCGCTGCATTTAAAGCTAAAGCTTAGGACGCCTTGGGTTACTACTATTCATTTGTAGGTCTAAAAAAGTGGCACATAGCAAATGCCGCTGTCAAGGCTGCAATAGTCCCGGGACAGTTCGGTTTGCCCTAGAGGTGCTTGGCTGCTTGTGATCTTCTACTTTCATGCTGTTCTTTAACTTCGTTCAGGTACCGTCTGCTACCTTCATCTCATCCAGCCTTGTAGATGTGCTTGTGCACTAAACTGAACGAGTCCTAGAGTTTCAGATGTTAAACAAGCATACTTTCTGACACGCGTACTGTAGATTAGCAGCCCTGGACCAAAGCCAATCGTGGCTTATTATTAATTATTACTGGTATTTTTTCAATGTCATTAAAGGGATACTTTAACATTTTATTCATAAGTTCTGCTGATTAAAAACTGAAACACTTCTTTCAGTCTCCTATAGTCTTTTGCCTGTGTTGTGCCCATTTTCGACCCCTGCCAAATTATTACCGGGGGGGGTGTAGTAATCTGGCGGGGGTCAGAATTGGGCACAACACTGGTACTGTAGATCCATCTCCAATCGATTTCAAGTCCATAAACTACAAGAAAAAAAAACATTTTATATGCAACAAATGAAATAAAAGCATGGGTTGATTCCACACGTGTGTCACGTGTTTGTATTTGTCGCAGATATGAAGCATGAGATGTCTTGGGTAGCTGAAGAACATGATTTGGTTTGGTTGCTCAATATCCTGATGAACGACAACGTCATGAAGGGCCGGAGCCAACCCTTACCCTAATTAAACACACCTGATCCAGAAGTCCTTCAGGCTTATTTGACAACTACATGCTATGTGTGTTGGAACAAAACTCTGCGGGGCTCCGGCCCTCCAGGAATTGAGTTTGACACCCCTGCTTTAATTGAAGGTTTGCTCAAATTTTCGTTCCAAAGAGGACTCTATTGGAGGTGCTATTTTATGTACTAGCAGAGTATAGAATACCTTATATATAGAACATGCCTTAAAGGGACTTTGGTACTAGTCACATAGACAACCATGTGAACCGTAGGATGTGTGAAATCAGTCATGCTAAAGCATTTTTAAGAATATAAAATGGACAGTTTTAATTGATCTAAAATATAAGTAAATATAGTCAATAATATCCTTTAGAAAGCACATTTATCTGAAAAGGAAGAGCAGCACTCAGTCGAATCTAAAGTAAAACTGTAGTTCTGCTTCCACCTGGTGGCCACACAGAGAAACAGCTGCATATTAATTCGTTTCTAAGCGACTGATAAAAAGCAATAGTAAATATATTATTTTTGAGATTTATCATATGTTTCAATTTATGTCCACTCTTACCTATCAAACTTTTTTTTGTCGTCGCTTCATCTAAAATTATTCAGTTCATTAATAGGTGGCAGGAAAAATAATCAAATCTTCATGTACTCATTTATTTCTGGTCCTTCAAATAAAATCATTAGACATTTAAATAGTTTGCCACGTACATTACGTGGTGTATTATTCTCAGAAGTTCAATTAAAATAATAATAATAATAATAATAATAGAGATCGTTGCATAAATAATGTTTTTTATACTTACACCAATAAATAAATTACACATTTATCCATATACTATATTATACACCCTTAAAACGTTTCCAAATGAAACGAGTATCTTCTATATGTGATAAAGGTAATGCTGTGGCGATAATACTGGCAATTTTCGTACTTTTACAACTTATGCATGGACATCAAGGTGGATATAAAACTATTGTATGCCTGCCATCGTTCATGTTAAAATAGCTTTAAAAAATACCTCATAAACATTTACCATGGTAATCGTTTCTGTCAAAACGCCACATTGACAATGTTAAAAAGAAATAAATATTAAAGGATTAGTTCACTTCCAGAAAAAAAACCCTGATAATTTACTCACCCCCATGTCATCCATGATGTTTGTGTCTTTCTGTCTTCAGTCGCAAAGAAATGAAGGTTTTTGAGGAAAACATTCCAGGATTGTTCTCCATATAATGGACTTCAGTGGTGCTCAATGGGCTGAAGGTCCAAATTGTAGTTTCAGTGCAGCTTCAAAGAGCTCTACACGATCCCAGCTGAGGAACAAGCCTCTTATCTAGCGAAACCATTAGTCATTTTCTAAAAAAATAAATACAAATGTATATACTTTTTAACCACAATTGCTGGTCTTGCACTTACTTACATAATCCCGTTGGAAAGGTCAGCGCGGTTCGCTCTTCGTCTGTGTACTCCGGTTCAGAAAGGTTGGGTAGGGTGAAAAACTCCATCTCATTTTCTGACATCGTTGTTTTACCTTTTTTTGTAAAGGGCCTTTGACTTTCTTTGCATGTTCGCTTTGTAAACACATACTTCCACCTACATCATACGTGACCTTTCCAACGTGATTACATAACGTGTGAAGTCCAGCTAAAGCATGTTTATTTTTATTTATTTGTTAGAAAACGACAGATGGTTTCACTAGATAAGAGCCTTATTCCTCAGCTGGGATCGTGTAGAGCTCTTTGAAGCTGCACTGAAACTACAATTTGGACCTTCAGCCCATTGAGCACCACTGAAGTCCATTATATGGAGAACAATCCTGGAATGTTTTCCTCAAAAACCTTCATTTCTTTGCGACTGAAGACAGAAAGACATGGACATCTTGGATGACATGGGGGTGAGTAAATTATCAGGGGTTTTTTTATTCTGGAAGTGAACTAAGCCTTTAAAATTATAGAGTCAAAAATATGTTTGCATGATAGCCTATATAAAACATGCGCGATGTGTGATGAATTATTCACTAATTAAACTCTCTAAAATCTAACAAATATGTAAAAAAAAAATAAAAACACTATTGCCTTCGAAATCTCACGAAAATTAGGCCACATTTTGACAGATTTAAGTGCTGACTACATCCGGAAATTATCATGGTGAAGTACTGAAAACTGAAGTGATTCGTGATTTTTGTGTTTAGGATAAAGATGACACAGTCAAGTGCGCTCAGTACAAACATTAGGAGAGCAACATTGATGAAATGAATGTGCTTTATCATGCTTGTCATTACCCTGTACTTCCGGCAGGTGGCAGTGAGACCAAAACAACGCAATTAAAACTGCCCTTTAGAGTGGAGATGGTCCTGACTCATTCACCGTCGTGACAAGAAATCACACAAACGTACTAACATAAGTTGAACTCTGAGAGGGGAAATAAAGACTAAAATATATTTTCACTTTGTATTTATCAAGATCACTGCTCATGCGCATAAAGATGCCGTGTCACATGGTACATGTTACTTTTCTCAGCGAGGAGCGATGAGTCAATCAACCCGGAAGTTCGCGTCACTCTCAGTAAGAATAGTTTGCATAGATTAAAACTCTACAGCACCTAGTTTTTTACCATTTAAATTTGAGCTCTGTCAGTATCTTAAAGTGATGGGAGGTGTAAGGAACTCTAAAGCAAAAAAGACTATAGATTGCTGTAAAGCCTTGAAACTTTATCCTTTTTAAGGACCTTTGCACTTATTTTGTAGTTACAAACTACAATCGTAGGTACAATCATTGTCTCTTTGAATTTATTGACATTTTTGCTTTTATTGTCAATTTGTATGTGAATTGTCACTAAATAAAGCATTAAAAAAAAAAAGATTAAAACTGTACAGGCGAACTAGTGAATAGATGAGTTTATCTGTTTGTGTGATGAAGTTTATTGTCCTCGATAAACTAGTCCCATTCAGACACTTGTTAGCAACCGCTGTTTTCAAGTATGCACAATCAGCTTGTAACACTCCAAAGAGAAAGGAAAACTTGAAATCGCATCATATGACCCCTTTAAAAAAAATCACAAGTGGGTATTACTAATGGATTTTATGTTATAGTATAAAAAGTGAAAATATATTGAGCTTGTGTTAAATGCAAACCTTATTTCAG